GTTAGTAACTTTCTACAGGCGATTTATCAAATACTTTATTAGTATTGTAGCTCCCATCACTGAGTGTTTGAAAAAGGGAAAGTTTCAAGGGGGAGAAGAACAAGAATAGAGTTTTGCTCTCATAAAAGAAAAATTATGCACCGCTCCTGTCCTTGCATTACCAAGTTTTGACAAGCTATTTGAAGTTGAGTGTGATGCCAGTGGAGTTGGCATAGGGGCTGTATTGTCCCAAGAGAAGAGATCAGTTGCTTTCTTTAGTGAAAAGTTATGCGAAGCCAAGAAGAAGTGGTCCACTTATGATAAAGAATTCTATGGTGTTGTTAGAACACTAAAAACCTGGGAACATTACTTAATTGCTAAAGAATTTGTTCTCTACACCGATCACCAAGCTCTTAAGTATCTCAATAAGCAAAAGCAGTTGAGGAGTGACCTGCATGCAAGATGGTCTGCTTTTATTGATAAATTCCCATACAAGATTGTGTATAAGGTTGGACAACAAAACACAGTAGTCGATGCTCTAAGTGGGTGTGTAGCCCTCATCAAGACTCTCAACATTGAAATAGTGGGCTTTGAATGCTTGAAAGATCTATACGCCCAGGATGAGGACTTCAAACAGGTGTGGGAAAAGTGCATAAATCGATAGCCAGCAGGTGATTTCTACATTCATGATGGATTCCTTATGAAAGGAGAACAATTGTGCATCCCTTGCACCTCCCTCCGCGAGAAGATCATCAGGGATCTGCATGGGGGTGGATTAGCAGGACACCTCGGGAGAGAAAAAACGATTGAAGCAGTCAAGGGACGTTACTACTGGCCTAGATTGAGGAGAGATGTGACCACTATCATAAGTATGTGCTATATATGCCAGACGGCTAAGGGACAGACCCAGAATACAAGCCTTTACATGCCTCTACCTGTTCCTACTGCGATTTGGGAAGACCTGTCCATGGATTTCTTGCTAGGTTTGCCAAAGACTCCAAGAAATATGGACTCCGTCTTCGTAGTGGTTGACCGATTCTCTGAGATGGCTCACTTCCTTCCATGCAAGAAGACCGCGGATGCAACAGCAACAACTAAGCTATTTTTCAGAGAGATTGTCCGTTTACATGGGGTACCTAAGACCATCACATCAGACCGAGATACGAGGTTCTTAAGTCACTTCTGGATGACCCTGTGGAGATTATTCGACTCATCACTGAATTTCAGCAGTACAGCCCATCCACAGACAGATGGACAGACAGAGGTGGTAAATTGGACCTTAGGTAACTTGATCCGCAGTATCTACAGGGAGAGACCGAAGCAGTGGGATTTTGCCATAGCACAAGTAGAGCTCGCTTACAACAATGCAGTTCATAACTCTACAGGTAGATCCCCATTTTCCATTGTTTATATGAAGGTACCTAACCATGCGTTGGACTTAGTGAAGCTACCTAGAGTACTCGGTCTCAACACTTCTGCCGAGCAGTTGGCAGAACAGATCCAGTTCGTATAGGAAGAAGTCCAACAGAAACTGGAGCGAGCCAATGCAAAGTACAAGGTTGCAACTGATAAGCATCGTCAACACCAAGTGTTTGACATCGGTGATGAAGTCATGGTGTTCTTAAGGAAAGAACGCATACCTGTGGGAAAGTATAACAAGCTACAACCTCGGAAGTGCGGTTCATACAAGATCATTAAGAAAATCAACGACAATGCTTATGTCGTGGACTTACTAGATCACATGGGTATCTCCAAAACATTTAATGTTGCTGATCTTCATCGTTATTTACCAGAAGCGACACTTGCATATCCCGATCATGACTCGGGGTCGAGTTCTTCCCATGTGGGGGAGAATGATGGAGGGCCAGCTTACGACCCACCGAACCAGCCGACGACAGCTAGGGAGGAACACACATCAGATAAGGACGTCTAAAGATGCATGCAGCGGATAATGGCAGATAAGATCACGTATCCAACCTACGTTGGATGAAAGTGGCTATCGGATGGTGGACGTCAAGTCCAAGTCCTAGTTGTTTTAGTTGTTCTATTTTCTTAATTATTCTACAAGACTACCAACATGTATTATAAATACTTCAGTTTCTAAGCTCAATAGACACACAAGAATTTTCTTCGCCATATTTTCTCTCTCTACTAAGGCTATGCCTAGTTTTCGTAAGGCTTCAAGATCGAAGTCGATCCGATTGTCTGGGTGCTTGCATAGTCAGCCTGGTCGAACGCGTCACGCTGCGTCACACTCTTATTATATTCAGAAATCCAAATAAGAGCCTTAAGACTATATTCAACCCAAACTCTAAGTAACGAAGGTGTTCAACCCAAACTTTGAAGAGCATAAATTTGATGAACTTTGGGAACCTCTAAGTAATGAAGGTGTTTGACCCAAACTTTTCAAAGCCTAAATTGAACAACTGAATAAATAGTTCAGAAGGATCTGAAGATGAAATGTAAATCTAGCCAAGTCGTCCCCGATGGGTCAAGGTTAAGCTACCAAGACCAACACTTGGTTATGACATTGAATGAATGTAGCAAATCGTTGCCATGACTTTGTTTAGATGTGGCATAGTAAATTTTTGCATTTTAGAACAATCTTACTAGCTGTGTGGGGGCAGTTAAAACAAGATTGATAAGTCTTTGGATCCATACTATCGTTAAAGTCTGGACTCTGTAAATTCTGAAATTTACAAAGAAGAACGACATGTTCTATTGCCATGTGAGCTCCCCTCCATCTATTCTGGAACGTGTTAATTGTCCCTTCAACCTCCGATCAATCTCCAATCTCCTCTGACTCTGAGTGTGTGAAGGGATTCAAGCCCAAAGCGAGTTCGTGTGTCAAAAGGATGATGAATTCTTAAAATTGATGGGGTGAAGCTGTCTGATAGTTCTTGAGCATTTGTAGACCAAAGCATGAATCTCGAGGAATGCAAAGCCAAATGCCTTAAAAATTATTCTTTTATAGCTTATGAGAATACTGAAGGGGAAGTGGTTGTGTGTTTTGGACCAGCTACTTGATCGATCTTCCGGAATACATCATGGACAATGGCCAAGATCTATACATAAGGGTGCCATCTCTAGATGCTTTGTGGAGAAAAAAAGTGAGTAAAATTGTCCAGAAAAAAAGTGTTGGGGTCTTTGACATAAACCCCATAGTGCGGGGGGTTTGTGTAATTTACCCATTGATGTTTTTGGTGTTTGGTTATGTGGATATTGTTTCAATAAACGCTGCTACATGAGTAGAAAGAAAAGTTTAGAATTCAGAATTCAGAACAACATTGTTTGCTTTTTCAGAATTTAAAGGAAAAAAAAGTTCACAAACACCAATATACCTCTTAATGTAATTATTACACTTTTAAATATTATACTTCAGAACAATTCAGTTCAAAGATTTAACCTTGGAATTGCCTTCCTTTAGATTTGAGGATCGAGTCTTATTTCCATACCATATTTTGCTGTTTGTCTCTAACTTAGGAGTACCAGTGCTAGCAGTAGTCTTTCCTATCTGTTGCGCCTGCATCAAGATGGTGAATTGGATTGCGTGATTTGCGTCTATCATAAAATCATGAACAATTTGAATAAAAGTCATATAGTCAAGAAGTCAAATCTCCGAACTCCTGTTCCATTGATGCGTCCATGCTGTCCTTTCCTCCACAAATTGACTGTTGGATTTTAATCTCATAAGAGATTAAATCCAATGGGTTTGATTGGTCAATTACATGAGAAATTGCACCTGCACACTTAATTGAAAAATCAGTTTTTCTCTTACAAAACCCAGTTTTGAACTTGTCCCACATTGGAAAATTATAAGTTTTGTTTTTAGTATTTCAATAGGAGCTGATTTACACTCTTTAGAATTAGTAGAGGAGAGTATGGGGATTCGATACCGCGCGCGCATTTGTGCGGCGCAATGAGGCGCACTTCGCTCACACTTTGCGCGCACCCGCGTGGCTCGCGATGGGCGGCTTTGGTGCGTTGCTGACCGTTGATGAGATCAACGGTCACGATTTGATCGGGTGTGATCAAGAGGGACAATTCAAAGTTAATAGTCACTAATTGTTAACTACTTTTTAAACATTGTGACTGTTCAAGGTGCCTTCTCTAAACCAGCACCTACCTTTTCTTCATACCTCTTCACAAATTATTTAAGGAACATGAATCAGACTCCAAAACACACAACTTCGAAATTCACTCACTCTCTCTCTCTCAGTCCGGTCTGCTACAGTCTCACAGAAGGTTTCTTTGGAGACTCTTCAACTTTGCTGGTTGTAGATTCTCGTCCAAGGCTCTGTTGTATCCTGGGAACGAATTTGCCTGTAACCCAACGACAAACTCAGTAAAACTGAGTGGGGGCAAATAACGTTCTAAAGACAGTGTCTTCAGACACGCCTCAGAGCTTCTCCTCCAAAGTTACAGTGACCCCATTTTCTCCAACATTGACCACAACTGAGAAATTCGCCGATGGAGACGGACACCAAACAATTGATCATGAGTGGTTTATACAGATGGATCGGTCAATTAATTCATGAGACTCTAGTGTATGTATGGTGCAGCTTTGGATAAGGACACGGCTGTCATCTTTGTCAAAGGCTTGAATCGGATTCAGCTCAATTCAGTTGCCACTTTTGTTTGGACTGTTAGATTGACTCATGGCACTCAAATATCAAGAGCATACATCACACTGTAACATTCATACGAATGTTTCTTTAAATGCCACACCAAACACCCAAACTATAAGAAAGTTATTATACTGAGGTGGAAAAAGTAGCTTTATGGGTGGGTTGTTACTTGAAACACCGTTTCGGTACGATACCGTTTCGACATCATAAGTTTACACAGAAAATCTATGATATAGAAAAGATATGATATGGAAAGAGTTCTGACCCATCAAAACTCACCTATGAATATTGATAAATAATATCTTATTTGCTTTAGAATTATACAAGGAACGGACCGGACGATCGGACCGTAACCTAATAGACATTCCGGCTTTTAGTTAGGGACACGGCACGAACCAAAAACCAAGATCGAAGAAGAAGAAGAATAAGACTACTAGAGAAGTGAACCGAGAAAGTAGAGTTGGAGGACCCTCAGCTCTCTGGCCGTTCCTCTCTGGCCGTTCCTCTCTGGCGTCCAAATCCTGAATTCTGGAAATGTTGACTCCTCTTTGGAGAAACATCCAATTCTAACTGAAATTGCATGTAATTGTGACCTGTGGTTGGTTGTTTCCGGCAAAATACTCGCCGATGTTTCTTCAAACCATATGAGGTTAGGGAGAGTTTTTTTTCCTCCGTTGTTCTCTTGAAATTTAATTTTTATTTCATATTTATAGTTTCATGTTTCATTCTATATCAGGATTTCATAGATTATAGTGACTAAATTATTTCTCAAGGAACTCGCTACTTCTATCGCAACCATCTCGGTAAGCGGCAGTTTTTGCTTTGGTTTCTATCTTTCTCTTTCTACAGAAACACACGCTCTCTCTCTCTCTCTCACACACACACACACACACACACAACTCCATCTGACTTTATGTTTTAAGAGATTATAACAGATTTCGTTTGATTGACTAAAGAAATAAGCATTCAATCGCTGTTTTCATTTTCATTTTTGTGTAAGTTATTTCTTTTTTGGAGTTTGAGTATTCCTTTTTTTTTATTCTCTGGTTTATTAGATACTGTATAGGGTTTTGATTTTTGACAAATCAAAATAAAAAAATCATTACCTAATGTTGGTCCCAGCTATCTGGGATCTTGGGAGGAGTGGACTGGATACGAACGTAACCTTTGACTAATTTTATACAAAGTGGCTGCTGTACTACATGTTTTCATTTGATGGACTTCAATGTGTGTGCTCCATCTTTTACTTATTTTTCATCAACTTCAGTGTATATAATATTCTTGACATATTGATATTCTCTTGAATTATTGAAGTGGGCTTGCTGATTTTGGAACTTGTATAGTGGGGGATTGAGATTTTGGGGTGGTCCGGGTGGAGAAATTATCTTGTCATCAGATTTGCAGTCAGAAGAGGGCTCACCAAATAACCCAAGGAAAGAAAAACCCAGCACATCTACATGTTAATGAAGGAATTGATCTGACCGTAGGAGAAGATATTGACTATGTCTTTATTGTGGAAAGTTTGTAAATAAGTTGGTACTATCCATTGGATGAAGCTACATTTCACAGAGAAAGTAGAATCCAGGATGTGTCCATGTTAATGAACGAAATGACAGTGAAATAGGGAAGAAGATATTGACATGTTTTTATTGTGGAAGGATTGTAAAAGAAGGGGATCTCCATCAGATGGAGCAACAACTTGGAGGAAGAATAAGAATTTGATGCATGTAAAAAGGTGCCTTTAACAGAATGCTCAAGAAGTTTTTGAAAGAGAATCTTTATGGGTCTTCATTGGCACAATTTGAGGTTGGTCTGGTTGAAGATCTTTTTTTTTTTGATAAAAATGAATAGATTTTATTGACAAGAGATTAAAGCATTTAGAAGCTCCCCTTTGGGGGCACGACATGCAGCCACACCCTTGAGCCCAAAAACTGAAAATTGAACTAAAAATTAGGTATTACAACTCAGCCACAAATAGAAACTCCTAACATCCCCAGGTTGAAGATCTTACTCCAAGTCAAGCAAACATTGGCATTTAAACTAAAGGAGGTATCAGAGGCAAAGTTCCCATAGGTTCCTTTTTTTTTTTCTTATGGTTGTATTGCCTTTAATGCTGTTTATTTACAATTCATGGTATATACAAGAGCGAGCTGATGGAATTGCTATATATGGAGGAAGATGTAGGATTTGAAATTACAATGAACTTAGGACCCACATTTTGTATTATAATCATCATCAAGCAGAAGAGTTTTTTATATCAATTAAAAGGTATTGTGAGGAACTTTGCTACACTATCATGCCTGATGGTTGGATGGAGAAAAGTGTTGGTTTATTGTTGTAAAGGAATTAATTCTTTTGAATCTTGTGCCTCTTGTCTTGTTAAGACATTTTTTTATGTGAAAAGAAGATGGAAAAAACAGTCCAAACCACAACAAAAACACCGACCGAACTAAACACAAACCACATCACGAAAACACAAACTAGAACCTGAGCCACTAAAGGTCTGAGCTAGGATACCGCCCATGCCTGGGTGGTAACAAATGGCACTACACAAAAAGAGCACACCTTTAAACCAAAATATCACTTTCCCTGCCGCCACGACCTTTGCCTTAAGTGTTGCTTCCTCCTCAACTTCAAGGCTTCACTACAACATCATCATATAGATCCACCAGTTTTTTGCTTTTTGACAACTAGGAAGACAATCTAGACTATCAAAGGACCATTTCAAAACATCACACCTTGTGGACTCTAGCTTGTAACCAATCTCTCATGTTGTCTAAACCCCTTGGTAGAGTCACTCCATGAAACTTTCTCATATTCAATTGCAACTCCACTCGTTGATCAATGGGATCACGAGACTAGTCACCCATCCCAACTCCATCAAATACAGAAATCTAAGAATCTTGGGCTGCAGGAGAAGCAACCAGTCTCACTCAATCCGAGAAAACTGAACTCACAACTTGAGCATCGCAAGTACTTGGGCTTGGCTTTTGAACCTCACGGACATTACTTGTTGATTTATCCTTCTTTGGCTGACTCCCCTCAGCAAAATGAGAGAAGTTATCCTTAAGTCTCTCGAGTGAAAGCAACACATCCTTGAGGAAGGAATATTTACAACAAGAGAGTTTAAAACCCATTTGCTTAGGTGCTATTTTTGAGCGGTAGAGAAACTATAGAATATTAGATTCTTTTGTCGGGTATCACTTTTTCTTGGGGCTAAACTTAGCTTCAACCAGTGTTTTGAAAGTTTAAGGTGCAAAAAAGGTGTAGGGGCCAATTTGTGCCCGAGGCACAAGGCGCAAGGCGAGGCATGTACCACTTTTGTTGGGTACCACTTTTTCTTGGGGCTAAACCTAGCTTCAACTAGTGTTTTAAAAGTGCGAGGCGCAAAAAAGGTGTAGGGCCAATTTGTGCCCAAGGCACAAGGTGCAAGGCGAGGTGCGTAACTTTTTGAAGCAAGGCGCAAAAATACAAAAAAATGCTAAAACAACATAAAAAATGTCAAGAAATTCAAAAAAATGCCAAAAACTTCAAAAAAATGTCAAAAAATATTAAACATAATATTAATAAAAAATATAAACTTAAAATTTAAAATAAATGTTTTAAAAAACCTATTATTTAAAATTAAAATACATAAACATAACATGTAAAGCATATTCAAAGGAGAATTTAAAAATAAAACCAAACATATAAAACATTTTCAAGCATGTAAAGCCCATAATCTCTTTTTTTCCCTCAATTGCATTACTTCAAGTAGCTAATGTGATGTAAAACATATTACATTCTTGATTCTATGAGCCGCCTTTGTGCCACGCCCCTCAAGGCAAGCCCAAACAAGTCCATGTTGGGGTCTTAAATTCTTAATTCTCATATAAAAAAATAATGATTTTATAATTTTAGTTGCTTTCTAAGCAAGGTGCCAACTAGCTGGTTGGTAAGGTCTCCTGTTGGTTGTAGTGGAGACTTGGGATCAAATCCCATCTGCACCTGGGTTGGGGGATGGTCTACCCTGCGTTGTGTTAAAAAAGAATAAAAAAAATAATTGCTTTCTAAGAAGATATTTTATTAGGATGAATGAATGAACAATATTAACAAATAGGGGGTTCTCGGAGCTTCAGTGAGCAAGTGAAGCGAGTGAATTGGAGCGGAGTCCCTGACCTAGTTGCTAGGTTCAAAAAATGCAAAAAAGCGTCAAATTTTCAAAAGCCACAACCTGGGCTGAGGTGCAAGGTGCACCGGGTGTGCGCCTTTTGAAAGGGCTGCGCCTAGGACCTAGGCGAGGCACATACCCTAAAATGTGCCTCACCTGTGCGCCTAGGCACGCCTTTTAAATCATTGGCTTCAACCTCTCCCAAATCGATGAAAGGGGCACCAAATTATTGGTGTGGGCCATGGGCCCAATTAAAACACACTAGCTAGCAACGTTGCCCAAAATGTTGCTAAAATCCAAAACCAAGGATTAACCCTCATCTCGACCTGAAACCCCAAAACTTGGTCCTACCCTCATCTCAGGTTGGTTAGCGGGCTGTTCAAAAAATGAATTTGAATTTGATGAGGATGGAGGCGCAACAACAATCACCTACCTCGGTCATCGACACCGGTGACAAGGAAAAAGTGTCATCCATCGGTTTCAAGCAACTTGGGCAAATGCCTTAGTCCTGTCGAAGCTTAATCAAACTCCCCCTTGAGATTTCCCTTGCCAATAGTACCCCCACGACATCTTTTACATCGACGACAAACATGAACTCCGCACCAGGGTACTTGATGAATAAAAGTCTGATTCTTTGGTTGAGGGCTCTTAAAGTTTGAAGTATACAGATGTTATCTCTCCCTACTTCTCAGTTACAGTTCACCACTAACCCCTTCAGGGTTCCCCCACCATTGCCAGATGCTGCTGTGCAAAGAGAAAGGTTGCTGATAAAAGAGTTTGAACATCTAGGACTCATTGGCAACCATTCAGCCACCCCTTTCCACCACTACTCTCGCCTTGAACACAAAACCCCCCACATCTAAATCTACAAACTTGGGGAAGTCCTGTAATGATCTCCCCTGCGCCAGAAGATGCAAATGATCCAAAGTCTTCCACCGGATGTTGTCAAAGTCATCTTTGATGAAACCCCCTATTGCGTCCTCAATCTCTTTAAGAGTAACAAAACACCACACATTTATGGGTACACCAAAGACCTGAACCCACCACCTCCTTTACTTGTTCTTGGTCCTTGCCACACCTAACCTCGGATCCCATCTTTGTAGATTTAATCACTTCCCGTTAAAAATATGACAACCTTGTTTCAAGACTAAGAGGGCATCAAGCTTAGACAGAAGGATGAAGAGAAACCCGTTTCCCTTCAAGGCTTTGGTAACCGGTTTCTCAAGGCACCTCCATGCTAGCATCACCCATTTCTCAATCGCTGCTAGCTCTGGCTTCTCCCCTATGAAACATCCCGCCAAACATCTGTAAAGGAAACTTTCTCTCTCAAAAACACCCGATTCTGAAACTACCACTCTGATGCTTGCTCGAAACACTCGAACTTGAGCTTCACCAACTTTATGAACCCCCAAGTGCATCAATCAAACTTCAGGAACCCCCAAGAGACCAAAGTTATGAATGAAATAGGTCTAAAAATTGTTAAAACAGTTAAATTGGGGGTGGAAAAAGAAGGAAAAAATTGAATGAAGTGGAAAAACTAATTAATGATTTTGAAGGGGACAAAAAATTCAGTGCTAGAGAGGGGAGAAGAAAGGGAGGTCTTTAGGGAAAGGGGGCTTCGAGGTTTTTAAAGTTAGTGTCAATGAAGATCAT